CCGGTACCGGTCCGCGGCCCGGGGGTTGGGGACCACTGGTGTTTGCGAAAATAAAAATGGATGCGGCTCGTGATAGCATGTGCGTAGCGATGTACCAGTTAATGAGCAATCAAAATAACACAAATATTGCTTATGGCCTTGCCTCCTCCAGCGCAGAATTGTGCCGTCTGTCGCATTTCAGTGACATAAAAATCGCATGAAATGCGACATGGCCGTTCAGACTGAAGTTGCATTGCAAAACATCGGATATGTATCCGATTTAGGACCACATATGGAAGTGGCCTGGGCCGGATTTGAGCTGTTCACACTGTCATAAGGAAATGGGATATGGGTCACATTTGGGCAAAAAGATCGGATTTGAGCCACTTCAGCCTGCAGTGTGAACATGGCCTAGTGTGCCCAGTGTCCAGTATCTCTACTTGACACCATTGTAGTGATTTTCTGCACCTTGCATACAATGCTTGTGGCCACCATAGTTGTGTTCTCTAATTCCTCAAGGATCTCTCTTTCTCTCTGTTTCATTAATGACACAGCACTATTCACTCTTCAGCTGCTGTTGATGATAGATTTTGCACTTTCTCTTGCTTGTGGTGAAGGGTAGGACCTGGGGTGGGTCTGTTGGTGTCTTAGCTGCAAGGTAAGAAGAAACTTTGATCCTTGACCTTTGGTAGAGAGGTTTGTCACAGACCAGCTAAAATGTGTGATGTTGTATTGATAGCGCTGTTTATCAGAGGACGGCTTTCTTTTAAATGGCATAGTGACATTTTTATATAAATATTCCATGTCAGGTGTATGTGTCAGATAGTTTCTCCCAATCAGCTGAATTTTGTACTTATAAACATTTGATATGTTTTGTAATTTGTCATTTACAATGTAGACAGTAGGATGGTGGGGCAGTGTTGTTAAAAGGAGACATTTCACTGACTCATCTATGCAGTTGTAAAGGAACCTGTTGCTTTACTGAGGACTCTTTCATGACAAGCAGCTAAAAATAGATGGCATAAATGTTGCTGCCAAAAAGGAGAAACACACACGTGAGTAGGCATGCCTGTCACATGAATTAACATGTAATAACATGCCTTGATACCACAGTGTATTTGAGAATGGGCAGGAATGGATGTTACCATAAATCATGGTTACTATTCTAGTTTGTATTGCTTCAGTTGCTCTAGTGATTTTATTTTCCTTACAAGGTCAGTTTACCTTTATGACATTGATGCACATTTATGAATTAATTGTGTTCTGAAAATACTATTATAGTTATATTGAGTAAAAATTTCAGGGAATTATTGGATGATCACCGTGAGCATAAATGTTACGTAAAATTTATAAAGTTCATTATGTCATAGTTAATTATAGACCAAGACACTAAGCTCCTTTTCAGCCAACTAACATATTTAATCATTGGTCTGTGTGTTCTATGTGTTCCCAGTACACACACACAAACAGCAACAGCCTTAAAGTGCTTGTTGACATCCAGCTGCTTTGTTTAAGGTTACAGTCTATCTACATTTCATACATACAAACATATACAAACAGAGCTCACGATGACTTGTTATGTATCACAACAGTGGTTTGAGTACATGGAACCGAAGGCGATGCATATGCTTACTGTAGATCCTAAATTGCAGTTATACAACAAACTGCTGAACATGGTAGTGTTTTTCCCTTCCTCTCTCTGTCTCGCTCTCATGGCCTGAGGGATTGCATAAGCAGCCATCTGAATATAGAATGACAGACAGCAATGACTGTTGTGCTTAAATCTAATTGGTTCAGACACAATACACGAGCCCTTTGACCCTGTTGTTTTCATTTCTGCCACCACACAGGAAACACTGTTATCTTTACACACATACAAAAATCAACGTCATTCATAATCTCATTATAGAAAAGTAACCTTAACAAAAGCATGGATTGTTGGAAGAAAATCAGTCCTGTCTGAGGTTCATCTGTGCCTGACTGATCGTTACATTTCATTGTTCGGTACATCAAGTCATAGAGTTAGATGTGACTGTCTGATGTGTGAATTGGTAAAGGTCCTAGAAAATGAAGCATGACATAGTGGAACACACACAGCCTTGGGGGAATGTTAGATTAAAAAAAAAAAAAAATGAAAGTACAAAAGTCACAGCCCCGATATAACTCTGTCACACATTGACAAGTGATCCCCCAGCAGTGTTATGATATGCTTTGGCATGTAGAGAAAGCAGTCAGGCTCTGGTCAGATGGCAGGCTGTGATTTGTAAGCCTTAGATTCACCACTGGATTAGTTTTGCCAAACCAGAACTTTTTTTCTTGGTATACTACCATAAAGGAATCTGTGGAAAGCCAAATTGGACACCAGTATGTGTTCATATGTTCATAGCTTAAATTAATAGAATTTAAATATTTGGAAATTTAAAAAATAAATAAAATGCCCATGTACTAAACCGAATACACATATATTAACCAGACAGTTTTGGGTGAAATTGTCTCTCTGCTTTACCAGCTTTGGAACAGTAGAGTATCAGCAATCAGACACAGGCCCAGTGGTATTTTAAAGCTCCATTTACTGGTTAAATAATAATGAAAGAGGAAGGCTAATGTCAGTGAAATGTTGGCCTTGCTCTTTCCAGTGGAACTCCGAGCCACCACAGACTTTTGCAGTGTGTTTTGCGGCTGTGTGAAATATGCTTTGTTGACACTGCGAATCACAGGTGGCATTAAATTTGCACATTTTTCATATACACCTTGTATTTCTCCTCTTGCAGGCCATGGTAAGAACCACAAGGATGCAGCATCAGTGCGAGCCACACACCCAATCCCTGCTGCCTGTGGAATCTACTACTTTGAAGTGAAGATTGTCAGCAAAGGTCGAGATGGGTAAGCAAACAGAACTCTGGTGAAGCTTCAGTGCGTGTGTCCTGTGGCACTACAGTAACCTTTTCTAGTCTCAGATCAGTCGGTCAGTGTTTCGTTCATAACAGTGTCACTGTGCCCAATCAAAATTAAAACTTTATTAACTGCTATTAGTTTTTCTTTGTCTTTGCTCTGTGAAGTCTCAGCTTCATGTTCAGTTCCACAGATCACTGTACTGCACTGGCAGCTTTCTGAGGACGGTATCAAAGGAGCCAGTCTCATGAGAACAAAGTCCCTGTCAATCGAGTTTTTATCTCTTCACATATTGATTTTTAGGACTGTTATAAGCCAAATGTACAGATTAACAGTTCAGCCACAAGTTGGTGTAATACAACTGGAATTACAAATTAACTTGTCCAATCTGACATTTTACTGGCCAAAAGGATGTTCTTATTGTTAAATATTAAAGAAAAAAATAATCTGGCATATTATTTTTCAGCTATTGTTGTGCCTACATGGAAATGTTAGAGATAATCAACAAATAGTAAGTCACTATCAACTAGCAATAATTTTATTGTTGATTTTTCTCAGTTTTAAAACTAAACACCGGTTTCAGGACATCAGTGTGGGTCTTTTGGTTGGCCTTAACAACTGGAAGGATTGCTATGAAAACTGGTACAGAAAATCAAAATTGATATAACAATTTCAGTTGTTCAGTTTCAGAAAATGAATGATACTAGTTTATCAGAGGGTTCTTCTAAAACAAATCCTTGAACTCATGTTTCTCCACTGTTTTGAATTTAATTTTAATATAACACACTAGCATGCCAACGTGAGTTTGTAAATATGCTAAATGTTACTTAAAATGAAAATTGTATACTAACATACCAAATATTAACATGGTGACCTAACATCCCATATGTTATCATTTATCATCCTCACGGTCAGCGTCCAAAGTTAACACTTACCAGGTGCCAAATATGGGTTGATTTTCTATTTGGTAAGTCAATGTCAGAGGACTACCCACTACACTAGCAGGTAAATGTTTGAAGTAAAATTACTTATTTCCTATTACTCTATTTCATGTGTTATTGTTCTCGCTCCACTCAAACTGTTTGACAATATTCTCAAAATGTCTCAGCCTCAGCATGTGCCAAAGCAAACTGAAACTATGCCAGATGTGTTCCCCTGACAATAATGATGACTTGTTCAACTAAGCAGTTGCTTCATTAAGTCTGCTTACTTGAAGAGGATGCAGGCCAACCACTTATACTGGTGTGACAGACTTAGGGCAGAGATGCACACAAGCCAGCATGGAAGGACTAGCGATGACTGTTGCGTTGCCGCACATCACCTTTGAATGGGCCACAAACAGCCAATGGCCAACTAGCACATACTGTATGTTCTATACCTAGGTCACAAAAATAACTCCCCTTACCAGCAGGTGGTGGTACCTGTGCTTGCCATCCAGAAAGGGAAAGAAGAAGAGCTAGACTGCGGACATATAAGCTGTAAACAAAGCAGCTCTCGTTCCCAACAGCTGCTCTGTTTCCAATTGAGAATACTATGTCTGATGAGAAGTTGCAAATGACATTGGTGATCTCTGTCCTTGGTCTTGTGGTTGTAGAAGAAGAAAGACAATTTCAGAGGTGAAACAAGGAGAAACTGCCCTAAATGGGTGAAATAGTGGATACTACAGTGACAGGTTCAAGGGTCTTTCCTGAACTGTTCTCTTCTCATACATTGAATTGCTAAGCTAAACAGCTAATCAGAGTGGTCGCTCTCACCATTGAGGTCTGTTGCCGATTCAACATGCTGAATCAGTCAAAAAGCCACCCACAGGATTTGACTCATGCCAGTGGTGTGGGACACACTGCGAAGACGAAGGTGACAGATGCTGGCTGACAGCCAGTCATCGCCTTGATGTGTCACAGGCCTTATTGTGTTGCTGCTGACCGCTGTGCTTCAACTCCTGCTGCTTGATGTGTAGACTCTTCCTTGGATGCACTCTGCAATAACCAGTCCTAAATGTTATTATATGAAAGGAGAAAAAATACAATGTGTTCAAAGTTACCACTGTCTAACACTCATTAATAGTGGATCCAGAGCTTTATCTGGATTTTATTTTATTTTTATTTGGTTGAATTAGTGTAGGAATCAAAAGGAGCTGATGCTCTTTGTGTAATTACAGATGTGTTAAATGTGTGTGTGCATGCTATGTAATGATGTACTGAATTTTGGATTTCTCCTCTTCTGTGTGCAGGTACATGGGCATCGGCCTGTCTGCCCAGGGTGTCAACATGAACAGACTGCCTGGTGAGTAACACATGGATGATGTAATGAGCATTGGCTCTGTTTACTACACTAATATCACAGTAACTTAAACAGTACAGGGATGGACAAAATGACATTTGTTGGATACAGTATATCGATGTAAAAACAATGGGATGGAGTTTGTGGTTAGAGCAATCAGTGAGATGAAGTGATATAAAGTGATACCCAAAATTAGTCAGCAGAGTGTATGGCAAGTATTTCATCACACCAGCATCCACATTAGCTTGCTGGGCCAGAGCCAGCGTTTCAGCCACTCAACAGTCAGTTCGGACCAGCACTTTGGCAAGGAAGAAGACAGAAATCCTGTAATGCTCTCTTCTTTTGTTCAGTTTTGGTTACACACAGTGGCGGGACACTTTGCACAGTACAGTTAAGCAACACTGAACTTTTTTAATTGCTTATTGGCCCACAGTTTCAACCCTTTGAACCCACTGGTTCAGATAGCATTCAATCACTGACAATACTGTGAAAGTGGTTGGTTTACTTTAAACTTTATTTTACAGAAAAATGAGGTTTCCTATCAACACTGTAAAAGGGTTGATTATTAGCACTTAGTCATTGTTTTCACTCAGGCTGTAGATATTTTTGAGCTGGAGTAGTGAGAGAGATGGTGTGGATTGATAATGGTTTGGTGGATGCATGTGTGTAGAGTAGTTTGTAGAGGCAGCATATAAAGGTAGATGAAAGGAATGAAGAAAATATAGGAAATGGATGGTGTGGTTAAGAGAAAGTAGTGAGTAGTGCCAGCATTTATGATATTTGAGACTGAAAGCAGGAAGAGATGAGGGCGCATGGTGTTCCTGTAGCAACTGAATGCAGTTTGTGTCAGTGATGGGCCAATCCACATTTTTTCAGTTCCTTTCCAATTCCGATACAAATTCCAATACAAGAGCTTTTGCATTGTAATAAAAACAATCAACACTATTAAACAAAGTATTAAACATGATTATGATGGATAAGCGCAGCTACTAGGTGGTCAGTAGCCAAGGACACACTTCTCTAAATTATTGCACATTTACAAATTTTCATTTTTGGGCTAGAAATAAGCATGTGGCTTTGGTTGTGAGGTATTTCACATTTACCATTTAAAATGTAGCCAACATTACAGCATTAATTTATTAATGAAAAAAATCTGTCTCACTTGCCTTTGTATCGAGGGTCCAGTAAAGTGGCAACAAAGGGGCTTTAACAATTTCTAACTGTGCCGTTAACTGTGATGACAGTCAGTCCAGGGAGGTGACAGTAGTGCAGTGGGTAGAGCGGTCACCTCCCAACCGGAAGGTTGAAGGTTCAAGTCTTGGTGCCTGCAGTCCACGTGTTGAAGTGTCCTTGGGCAAGACACTGACCCCCCCGGTGCCCCTGGTGGGTACAGCCATTGGTTGAGTTGGCACCGCAGGTGGCTGCCTCGGTTCTGTACCGGAAACAAATTCCTTGTGTGTAACATACTTGGCCAATAAAGGTGATTATCCTATAGTTCAGATAGAGCAGTCTCTGAAATTTTTTTTCCTGGATAGCAGATTATACCTGGGCTCTAAGCACTCCAACAGGCTGCAAAACCCAACGTTTTCCACTACAGATAGTGGTTGGTCATAGAGTATAACGAAGTTGAGCAACATCATGTGGAGTGGTACATTATATAGAGCAGTGACGCGTCTCCTGTTACGTTATGGCGGGTTCGTGGTCTAGCACAAGCTGCGGACTGGAAGATGGAGATCTCTCTCTCTCTCTCTCTCTCTCTCTCTCTCTCTCTCTCTCTCTCTCTCTCTCTCTCTCTCGAGCAAAGCCATCTATTAAAACATATATAAACAGACAGAAATAGCAACAATTGTACAGTACAATAAGAACATGTGACATGACAATGGGGAATCCATACATACAGCCACAAAAAAAATCCAAGAAGAATCATGGCAGTCTGACAACACTCATCCAAACCTTTGTCTGCTTACACATTGTGTATTGTTCATTGCTATGCACTTTGCCCACAAAATGATAAATGCAGACTGTCACAGGAGTGTTATATATTGCTGTCAAAATTGAATTGATTGGGAAAATGAAGCACAGAAAAGGAATATCATTTTTTCTTCATTGCCTTCTACTATTATGATCGGTGGGTCTGATCAGAGACATGGGCAGTTAGGACTCAAAAGGCTGGCTCGGACAAGGTTCAAACAGAGCTTTATTTGGTAATAGTTTAACAGGGGTTGGACTATCAGGTACGAGGCTAGACTGGCTGGCAGGCACACCCTGTGATGGTCGGGGCTTGGCTGGCCAGAAGACAGGCTGGAGCTATGGAGAGCCCGGAGGCAACACCGGGGGAACAGATGACCAGAAACACAAAGGACAAGTGCACCTGCAGAGGATCCAGGTGCACCAAGGACTGGAAGGCGTGAAGCTGGTGAGGTCCAGGGGACAGGAGGATACAGGTCAGTGGCGCGAACTGGAGATGGGCTGGTGCAGCTGGAGGTCCAGGTGAGAAAGCCGGTGGAACAGGCAAAGCAGGAGGAGGTTTTGCCAGAGGATCTGAACGTACAGGTGAGAGGAGACAGACCGGGTAGAAATCTGTTTGGTCAGAGGACTCTGACAGGGGCTTAGCGAAGGTAATGAAGGGTGCAAGTAGTGCCATTCTAGCTGGTGATTCAGGGCTACTCACGTGCAAGCTGATGAAGGCAGGTGATGTTGACCATGTAGTATTGGTGCAGAGGAGTGGTGGTAGCAGACTGAGGTGGCGGCTATGTTGAGAGGAGCGTACGGGCAGCAGGAAAAGGACAGAGTCGCTAGCAACTCGGGGACAGACAGCAGGTAATATAGCAGGAGGCAGGCTGGTGTCATTAGTAGGTCAGAAACTCACAGGAGAATGGACTGGAGTTAGAGTTTAACAGGATTGCTGGCAGTTCAGGGATAAACAGCAGGTTATGCTGGACAGGAGTCTACAAGCATTGCCAGTGACTTTGTACTCACAGGTGAGTGAACAGGTGCTTGAGAGTAACTGTGTCCCTGGTAGATCAGGAAGCAAGCAGCAATTATGCTGACCAGGAGTCACAATTGGTGTCACTTCGTGTATCGAACAGGTACGGGGGAAAAACAGTGTCGCTGGCAGGTTGAAACAACAGCAGATTGTGCTGGACAGAGGCCTCACTGGCGTCACTGATGTTTTAGGTACTCACAGGTGAACAGGAGTCAGCAGGCAGATCAGGAACAACAGTTAGCTCGGATGGCAGACTCGAAGAAGTCGTTCAGAAACTCTTGTACAGAGGAGAAGAGCCATGAGTGTCTTGGAGTCTTTCTGCAACAGACTGGCAATGGGGAAGCTCTAGCTTGAAGGTTAAGTAGATTCTGTCAGATGAGCTGATGAGTCTCAGCTGCTGCAGCCACACTCGAGCCCTCACCTGCCTGCTAGAGGGCAGAGAGAGAGGAGAAAAAAAGAGCTGCCCTAATACCTACCTCTCCACGGTGAATATTATTTTTCTGTTGTAGTTGTCTTTCATCCACCCTTGGCCCTCGATGCCCCTCCAGGCTCTCAGCAAATACACACAATGACATCTGCGAACAGTTCAGAAACATCTGATGACAAAGGAGGAAGCATAGTAGCCATCAGACCACTGACTAATACACTTTGACCAATCATGTGGTGGAGTTTCCAGGCTTGTCTGGAGCCATCTGACCTGCTTATTGATTAGTCAAGATCTGTCTGGTGACTGACATTTGTGGAATGCTGTGGCCACCCAATTCAGTAAACTCTAGATCTGTAGACACACATGTACTCATACACATACATACACAAAGATCATTCATTCTCCTCTCTTTTTGATTCACGTGTCAAATTCCACACAAAGGGAGGAACAGTGTAGAACATGTCCATGGAGAAACATATATTTCAAACCTGCTCACACATTAGTTATGAAAATATTGTTGGTTGCTAGGATTTCACTACAGATGGTTTGTAGCCCTGGTAGACAGATTACTGATTATTAAATTAACTCTGACTGACTCAGTGTGTTTGTGTGCCAGTTTATTTGTCCCGAACTCTGTGGTTTTATCTGTGTGTTCCGGACTGACTGCATCTCCGAGTGTACTTGTTTGTGTACTCTTCTGTGTGCACTTACTTGTCCATCTGCACATGCATTCATTTGTGTGTGTGTGTGTGTCCCTTAATAGCACAGTGTTCTCCACTGCTGATCTCTGTCTCTGATCCCGCTGTGGTGGCCTGCCCATTTCATTAGCATGTTAGAGCAGTGAACCTGGCTTTAGAGGCAATATCTCTGTCAGCAGATTACCCCCCACAGAAGTATACATACATATACATATATATCTCTATATGCACAAAAGAAAAAATGACAAGAAAGACAACAGTGTGCTTTTAAGTTAAAAGAAACACCAATGCATACTTCTGAGAGAGTTCAGAATAAATGTAATGTCATGCTTCTCTGAGTCAGAAGGAAAGCAAAGATTAGGCCTGGGTAGGTAGCCTCAGCCTGCAGCCCAAGCCTAATCTTTGACTCAGAGAAGCACGACAAACCATTTGACTGACATTACATTTATTCTGAACTCTTTCAGAGGCTAAACCCTTGCCCCGGTAACAACTTCTTGTTCCCTGAATGTGTACCACAGAGAAGGTGATACGGGAAATGCAGATTAAAATAAAGTGAGCTTATCCTTGAAGTGGTCTGAAGCACAGTCAAGTGAACTGGTAGACTGAAGTGGAGTAGACAGAGTAGAACAGTTGAGTCCAGTAGAGTGGACTTTTTTGATTTAGTGGGATATAAGACTGCTGTGTTTATGTATAAAGCCAGGAACAATTTATTACCTGGTGGAATTCAAAAACTATTTAATGAAAGGGAAGGGGGATACAATCTAAGGGGTCAGTTAAATTTAAAAGTTCATGCTATACGTACAACCAAAAAAAGATTTTGTATTTCCATAAGTGGGGTAAAACTATGGAATAATTTAAGTGTAGACATAAAAAATAGTAATAGAATTGATGA